TACATGCATAGTCAGTCTTTTGTTCCAGATGTATTCTCATTAATGTAATCTAGAATTACATACATGAAATACATTCTACAGTTTGAGAGTTATTCATGTATATGTAATATACAGGTATTATGAAAATGACAAAGGACTTCAGGTGGGAGGGGCTTATTGAGAGTGTGATCAAACTGTTGTAATAACATTGCATGCATGAATGTTTTTGTTACAGTCAAACAACCAGAAGCAGACATTTCACTTCTGGAGATGGCTATCTTTTGGGTTGTAGTGCCATGTAGTCCAGTAGTCTGGTCTACCAGACCACAAGGCACTACAACCCAGAAGACTGCCATCTTCAGAGTCATCACCATAAAAACCTCAAATCCTACTTAGTTTTACTTCTGCTCCACCAGCTCTCCCAACTTCTTTCTGTGCACTTCCATATGCATCTTGAGGCTGCACTTATAAGAGAACCCCTTCCCACACTCACTGCACTTGAATGGCTTGTCCTCTCTATGCACTGCCAGGTGTTGCACATAGTTGCTCTTCTGTATGAAGGCCTTACCACACACACCACATGTGTATGATTTCTCTCCAGAGTGTAACTTGAAATGTCGCTTCAGATGATTATTAGATCTGAACTCCATTCCACATACTAAGCACTGGAATGGTTTTTCTCCAGTGTGAACCATTAGATGAGTGTTGAGGTGTGACCGGTTTGTAAAACGCTTCTCACAAACAGTGCACTGCAGGGGGCGTTGCTGCAGGTAACGTCTCTGGTGTGATCGCAGTAGTGACTTCTCATGAAAGCGCTTATTACACACATTGCAAGCAAAGGGCTTTTCTCCTGTGTGGACCCTAATGTGTTGCGTCAGACGAAACTTTGTAAGGTACTTCTTCCCGCAATAAGTGCACAAGTGCTGGAAGTTCTGCTCGTGGCTACGAATGTGCTGTTTGAACTGGACGCTGCTTACCTGCTTGCCACAAATGTTGCACAGACATGTTTTCTTGTTTATTGGCTTACTGGTGTTACTGACTCCACTGCACTTTACTATCAGCTCTTCTATGCTCCTGTCATCCATTTCATGTTTCATGCTCAAGTGCTTCTTGAAAGCAGCTGACAGCAAGTACCGCTTCCCACATGGAGGACATGTGTACTGCTTCTCCTCATTAGGTGCATTAACTGCCTCCACATCAGAGCCATCCTTTGCAGCACTCTGTGGCATGTCTGATGATGTGCCATTCTTCATGGTTTCTGTATATACATCATCTTCCCAGGCTTTTTCATCATCGTGACTTGTGTTCCTGGAACCAATATAAGCAGACATCCCTGGTTTTTACTGTTTAAAAGGTAAAACTGAAAACAATACAAATGGCGTGTGGAAGTTTACCAGGTGGGACTAGAACTACACAGACAGAACAAATGTAAGAAAAGGAGGAAGCAAACATAAAGGCCCATGATTCTAAATACTGATATTATAAAGAAATTCACTAAAATCAAGAACACATTGCTACCGGTTTTTTGTTGCACATGTGAAGGTGAAAAACATTCATATAAAGAGACCAAAATATACCTTCATTCTCTCAGGTATTAGACCATACAGCCCGATGTGGTTTCATTACATCTCTTGATCCTAGGCTTGCATGCTGCAGGTAAATTTATGAAAGTTTTAATTTTAACACATTTAACACTGAATAATTATGCTTACTCTGCTAATTGGATAACAATCAGTTTGCTTAAACCTGCCCCAAGCCATTTTTATAACCATAATTTAAAACGTGTGGAATTTGCACAAAATATTTTACAAAGAGTGTAACACATCCTGTTATGTGCTACTGCTTACCGGTCATTGCAGTACATGTGACTTGTGTCAGCAGCCGCTGTCTTCTCATCATTCAGTTCCTTACTGCCCTGTGCTTCTTGCTGGAATGCACAATTCTGCAGTCAATAAAAACCACATAGCGACTGCTACAAAATACAACAAAAGAGCATCACTCACCACACTGTTCAGTAAATGACGCAGTATTGAGTCTGCTGTGAGGCACTTCTCCTTGAAAGTGAGGGCTGCATTCAGGTGAGCGACACATTCGTTACACACCTGAGTGGGCAGACCGTCCCCGAGTTCTACCTGTGACAGAATTCTCATATACAGATTGATGCACATGTATCACAAACAAAGCTAGATATATCTTTATTTGCCCTGATAAAATTAGAAGAAGGGTACATTTAAAAAAGAATATAGCAAAATTATCACAGTGATCTCAAGATTATGTACAATGTAATAATTTACAGAATAATGTTTTCATTTGGAAGATGAGTGACTCTTCTTATAAAGGTGTTGAGCATAGTGGTCAAACACAAACTACATTTCTTTCGAAAGAGATCTCGTTCATGGAATCATTTCCTTTCCCTGTTCATGGGCTTAACGAATCTGACTTTACAGCATACCTTGATAGAAGTAACAGTTGCTATCTTGAGTGGCAACATCCCGGACAGATCCTTTGTAACATCCATATAAATTTCGGGTTCAGAAGAAGTATCTTGGAAAATATTCTGCATATCCTCGCATTTTCTAGCGCACAAACGACACACTTTGTTTAAGTTCAAATCCATCTCTTCTGCTATGCCACATCAAACTTTAAACACAAAGAATGCCTGAAACATCATAACTAATCGTAAAACGCCGGCTGTCACAAGCGTATGGCTCGGTTAAACACTTCCATTCGTACTTTATTCTCCCATGAGGAATATACTGCATTAAGTTAAATTTTCAACATTCGGAGAAGCAGCTACTAACGAGCACATTTTGTACTTGAAATTCGCTATAGACCATACCTAGGGAATCAAGTATTCGGTGATGCGTCTTGCAAGGATCAAACGGTCCTTGGCTCCTAATCTGTACATTTTATACCTTTGCGCCACTGCATGTGGGAATCACCTTCGGCATACATTGAAGGTGAAAGGAATAGTAACCTTCAGGGCAACACATGATGTCAGGAACCTCGACTAGAAACAACTGTATTTTCCAAAATAATCATATTCTCGCTGTTGACATGGGTCTGGGATACAGCTTTTCATGATCCATGAAATCTAAAGTACTGAACAGTGTTAAATCTCCCCTTTTGAAAAAACCATAAGAGTATCTTAAAATGTTGGATCCCGAATACGTCCTCGACCATGAAACACTTCTCGTACAAGGAACTACGGCCAAAAACTACGTTCTATACCAACGATAAAAATACGCAATGAGCTACCGGAAATCGACTTACGGCCTGTTGCACGGTTCCCACCATAATGTTTACTAGGTGAATCTCTGTTAGTACATTTGCCTTTGCTTTACACGTGATAGAATGTGTAGAAGGTACCATTTTTTGTACAACTATTTGACTGGAATAACTCTGAATAATGTACATTGAGCATTTCTAATCGGGACTGACTCATACCACAAGCACCATACCAATGCTCGGTATGCACATATCAGTTCCGTTGGTATTACGTGTGGTTCAAGTCCACACTCGTAGCCCGTGATGTATGATCCGATGGCCGTCAACATTGTTCTGTCAGGTTGACATTTATAGTACTGTCATATAATGTTCTGAGAGCTCGAAAGTAATGTTACCATTGCATACTTTCAAGTTATACAGTTTTCTTTTCTTTAAGCAATGAATAATGGATGATTTTAAACACAAATTTTTCTTCTTTATAAACAAACAGGTTAGTTTTATGTGCATTTAAATTTGTATGTATAAGTAGTTGTTATTTGGAACGTAACGCCGTACCATTAATGGACAATTTTACGTTATAATATGTGATATTTAGACATTCTGATAACACTTCCTTATCTTTTAGAATGTGTGCAATGGGTAGTACAGTATAGATTGTTCTTTGCCTGTCAGGTTGTTCACTCAAGGTCTCCAGCAGTAGTTTCACTCAATGAAGAAGCAGTCCGCCCTCCAACAGAAGAGGGAAATCCTTTGCATCGCGAAAGTCAGCTGGAAACAAGGAAGACTCATGAGCATGACCCTTTAGCTGATCAAGATATACTTGAGAGTATTGAGCCAGAATTCTTTAACAGTGAAAGTTTTGATCCTTGCAATCATGAATTAAAGGTAAGTATGCTTATATTTTACGTGGATTTAAGCATTTTATGGATAGGATTGTGATATGCTGTTTGTTGGTATATATACCCTTTGATGTAAGTGAATATTCCATACAAACTATATGTGGTTTGTACAGAAGCTGCCAGCAAAACTAGAATGTGATGCCATTGAACGAGACTTCCAAAAACTGCAGCAGCAGCAGTTGGTGGTGTCCAAGAAAGTGCTGCAACTGATACTGCAGAAGCACACAACTTTCAATGAGGAGTTTGCAAGGTTAGAGCAAGGTCATTACAGTTTCAGAACAGAACACACATTTCCTTTATCGCAGTCACAGCTGAACAAATTCTACAGGTTCTTTTATGTTTCTTTTGTGGCAGCTTCATATGAAATAAGTCTCACATGAAGATGCAATGTAATTCATGCCAAATGTTTTGTGAGACTAGCTGCAATACAGAAATTTCATATGCAGTGTGACATTCATTTTGTTCCCAAAATGTAATTAATGACAACATTTTGTTGTTCAGGATCCTGGAGGTTCAGGAGGAGCTGAAGACAACATTGTGTGTGTGCAAGAAGGGACGGAGTGACCTGAACCTTGCCAAGCGACAGTTCACGACAGCCAGTCTTGGGATTTTGGCTAACTACCGTAAGAGGCAGGTGGTACAAGGTCTTCTGCACTCTCTCAACACCATCAAGACTCTGGTGAGTCTTCAGCTGAAGTGATGCAGCTTCTGTCTTCTGTTCTTTTACAGTTCTCTGTAATCTTAGTGGTGAATTCGGTACATTTTCCTGTATCTTATGGGATCAGGGGACTTACATTGTTCACTGTCAGCCTGCCAGTCGGAATGTAACTATGGAGTGTGACAGTTTAGCAGTATGCTTCTGTGATGTGCCTGGACCATAGAGTTTGGACTTTGATGTGTGCATTTTAACCTTGGATGATGGACAAAGTCCAAAATCCCAATAACCCTGATTAAATTTCTGCTTCAACTATTTGATTCGGTTTGATTCAGTTTTATGGCATGTTTCCCTGTTTTTGTACCAGCCCAGTAATTGTCAAAATCTAATACAAAATTACTCTTGGATTTGATTGAGTGGAAAGCGTGAATCTTGGTTCAGACTTTTAGTTGCACGTGATATCTGTGGCAGCAACGCACAGAAGAACGTCTGCAGGAGCTGCTTAGTGAAGGGAACTACCCTAGAGCAATAGGACTGCTCCTGGAATGCCAGAGCGCGGCAGCAACGTATCGGCACTTCACGTGTGTGGCGGCACTTAGTGGCAAGCTGCAGGACACGCTGGAGATGGCTGAGGAGCAGTTGGACCAAGCTCTTGCAAAGGTATGTCTAGTGCGGGGCAGAGAGAGGCATGATGACACTTCATTTGAATAATGAGATATTTCTGAATGTTTAAATCACTGCATGAGGCAGAGACATACATAGGGACACTTCATCTGAAGCATCAGATACTCTTAAGCAGCAAAACGGTACAGATGAAAGTTGTTTATTCCAGGTGTGCAGTCACTTTGACGCAGACCACTACAGCAAAGTGCAAGCTGCATACCGTTTGCTGGGCAAGACACAGATGGCCATGGACCAGCTACATATGCATTTTGCGTCAGCCATCCATAATGCCACATTCAGTGTTGTGCATGGATATGTAGAACTGTGCTCTGGCGGTAGCACACTTTACAAGAAACAGTTCAAGCAGTTGTGTGAGGTAGGTGTCACCTACAAGGTGCTGAGCAGGTTTATACAGTGGTGATTCTCTCGTCTTATGAAAAAGGCTATCTTCTGGAACATAGCACCTTATAGTCTGGTAGATACTGACTGACATTCCAGACTTTCCTCTTGCCTTCATCATTACGGCTGTGATAATGAAGGCAGTAAGCACATCTGAAACTCTTGTCAGTTTGTTGCAGACATCGCATCATCCAGAAGACAGTGGTCTTTCGTACTTGTTGCCATGAGAACCAGAAATCTCACCAAGTGTTTATGTTATGTTAATATAATTCTGAATCAGTAAGAAAAGTGATTAGCCATTCTCATCATGAGACAGTTTCAGTTCTGTAAAAATCTTTCTGTGACCAGTGTTGTTTCTGTCTGACAGTCTGTTACAGCAGAAAGCTTCATTCCTTGCCTCGTGGACCTGTGCAAGGCACTGTGGGGCATCATGCGGAGCTATCATCAGGTGATCAGCTGGCACCAGAGGAATGACTTGGAGAAACTTTCAGCAGGTGCAGTTCATAACAGTAGAGGTTTTCAGAATATTTGATACATATAGTTCTTATTAAGGTTTGAAATACAGGTTTAAAATTGGTTTATATGAAGCAGAATGGACTCCTACTTCACATGATGACAGTCTTGAAACTTCATGTTATATTAGAGCTCTCATGTATGCTTGCAGATGGTGTGAGTGAGCTGGTGGACTTTGAGGCAAGTTTCAACAAGCAGTATGTGAAGCAGAAGCTGGGTAATGGGCTGGTACGCATCTGGCACGACGTCCAGGCTCGGGTATCGGCCTACCTGCTGGGCTCTGACCTTGCCTTGTATAAGTCTGATGACTTCCTGCAGGTTCTCAGGGTTGTGCACAGGTTGGTATTTCTCTACGTACCGCTGAGGCCCATCATTCCTTTTTATCATCTGAGATACAGATCACTGTAGCGGAGTGTTGGCACTCGTGCTTTATGTTCAGGAGATACAAGACTTGACATTTTCTGTTGCTTTCATTTATTTGTGTTTTCATGATACTGGAATAGTACTTTAAAGCTGGCCATGAACCAGTTTCAAATTTATTATTCATTGTTGCCTCTGAACTTGGTGCATGTAATGTATACAGTTTATTCTTCATATAATTAACAAATTTTCAGTTGCTGAGACCATTTTGCATTAACTTTAAAACTTGATGGTTCTCAAAACTTTAGGCTGATAGAGGTTGGTGAGGAGTTCTGTGGCAGCAAGTCAGAGGAGTTACAGAATTCCATTAAGAAACAGAGTAGCAACTATTTCTGCAACTACCACCGGAACTGCCTGGAAGAACTGCGGATCTTCCTGGAGAATGAGAGCTGGCAGATGTGTCCAGTGAAGCCCGACTTCACGCTGCTGCAGCTGCAGGTCTGTTCTTTGTACACCATCTTCTGCCTTTTTCTAGTCCTGAGGATACAGAGTTAAAACTAGACAAAATTCGTGACTGTGGTATTGAACATTGATCAGTTCCATAATTATCCACTGCTCAAGGAAGACCCTTAATACTTGCACTGAAAGTCTGTAGTGCTCATTTGTTTCCTTGTACAGTATGCATCATTTTAATGCATTTATAAATTCATCAATTCAGTTCCTGTGCTTGACAGTAGGTCTTTCAACTTTTGAGATTTATATAACGTAGGTCAGTCATTGTATTTATTATCTGTTAGAAATGTGTTCCCTTTACTTTTGTTGCAGGAGTTCCGCTCATTACGACACGTGCTGAAAAGCTGGAAGCCTCGTGGTGACTGTTTGAATGGGGATCAGACCACCATGACTAGTCCTGAATGCAGTAGCAGTAATCACTCACAAGATAGCAGCTCTGTCACTGGGGGTTACTTTGCACGCTACTCAGAGGCAGGAAGTCCTTTTGATTTGGGTCTGGATGAGGTCCAAGAGGAAGACATTCTTGCAAACATTGGGGTTGGCATGGCACAGACACTTGTGATTCAAAGAAGAATTAATTGTTGATTCAGAGTTGCTGCTTACAGATTTTCCTTCAAGGATCTGTGACAGAATTTATTGAGGACTTTACCGCGTGGTTACTAAATTCAACATTATTGCTGCTTCCAGGATGAGCCGTCTGGTTACTTCAGTGACGAGAGTGACGAAGATATTCCTGATGAGCTGAAGAGTGATTTTGTGGATGAGAATGTTGGTGATACTGTCAGTAACAAGTGAGTAGGAACATGCAGTGGAAATTCCACAGTGCTGAGTCGTTTCACAGAAAAACAACACAAGATAATAAATTTCTTGTTTCAGGCATTCAAAACCAAGTTCCAAGAAGATGAGTCGCAGAGAGTTTGTGAAGGCTCCCATTCTTACCAACACGACTGTTACAGTACTTCGGCAGTGTGGGAAATATCTGCAGATGAGTCACCTCCTCAGACCCATCGCGTGTGAAGTGATCATCTGCATGAGTCAGCTGTTTGATTATTACCTGTACGCTGTCCATACATTTTTCACTGCAGACCTGGTAAGGAGACATGGAATGATCAAAGGCAATGTTTTGCTGGGCTGTTTGATCACTTCCACAAGGGAATTTTATAGTATTCCTTAGTGGAATTGATAATTTCATCACTGCAGTCACAAAAGCCCTGCCATTCAACCCTATTTTAAGCTAGTATAATCCAGTACATAATCATTTCTTCCAAAGATATTTTAATATTATCTAGGTCATAGTATTTTGGAGCCAAAAGATTTTTGCATTTATTAATTATCTCATACCACCTACTTTCTTGCAGGTATTGTCCATGTGTTTGTCACATTGCCATTAATTCTGTCCTCTATCTGATCTTCACTATTAACATCTTTTTCACATTCATTTTTCACTATTCCATCTTCCCCATCCTCACTCTCATACATCTTCCTAGGAAATTACTACTTTTTGGTGGTACTTTAGAAATACTGATGGTAGCTTGTGGCTTCTCACCTAGAAACATATTTCTGTCTCTCTTCCTTACTCTACCTGCAGCATGATGTGGTATGAATGTTAGCTCATGCCATGTCTTAAAAATCATGTCAGTAGAACCTTTAAACGCTTAAAAAAACAATATATTTCTCATAATTGAATTTTCCCTTAATTTTTTAAACCTGAAAATTTGGGAAAGTACCTTGTTGTCCATTTGGTAAATATGCTATATTAGTTGAAGAGTACTGATGATGAAGTTTTTTTCCAGTCCGTTGTTAAAATGTTTTCCTCTGCCCTTTGGAGCGTGATTCAGTGATGTGTTCTGTTTGCAGCCAGTGACATCTCATTCCCTGTATAACTTGAAGCTTCAGGCCTCTCTGAAGAGAATACAGGACAACCTGATTCTTCCAGACCCTTCACAATTTGCAGAGTCTGACTTGGACCAGTCAGAAAGAACAAAGGATAAGGTACGTGCTTCTACCTTAGCATTTGTTGTCTTGTGTGTTCATAATTCACTTACTGCTAAAGTAGCAGTGGGCCCTGTTTCAGTTTCATCCACTTCATGTACTTATGACCCATTTCACTAAGAACCACTCCATTATTATTTTGCCATCTCATTCGTCTGTCTGTTTTCCAAGAGGTTTCTTTACTAAAAATTTTATATGCATTTTTGTTTTTTATGATGCATGCTGTAAAAATTATAAAACATCATAATTCTCCACTTCCAGGGTCAAAAAAAACAAAACACACACACCACTATTATTTTGTTTGACAAAAGAATAGCTGTTACCCTTATTTTAAATGTGTGTGACTGAACGCTGCGGCCAAATGGTTAACACTCCTGCTTTGTATTCAGAATTTCTTAGATTATAATTTTGGCCCTGAGACTGGCTGTCCTGATTGAGGTTGTTCATGGCTTTCCTCTGTCTCTCCAGAAAATTGCTCAGATAATATCTTCAATTGCATTACGACCAGCTGCTTCAATATCCTTTTCAATTTGCTATTTGCTAATCATCCTATCATTCAGTGCTGTATAGTCTGAAACTGAAGGCATTGTTGAATAAACCATCATATGCTGTTTGTACAGTATGCATAAAATTAATGTACGAGGAATATGAGGTCATGTCTGTATTCTGTCTGTCCATTTGTGTGTTCATCTCTGGAACTACAAAACAGTTGTATATGAAATTTGTCTCATTTAGGTGCCTCAGCCTCACATCTCTCCAGTGGTGGACCTCACGCAACAGGAGACGCTGCATGGCCTGGCAGAGAGAGTTGTGGCCGTGGAATCCGTTATCTTCCTAGCCAAACAGCTTGAGTTTCTTCAGAGTTATCTGGAGCACCTCCAAGGGGGCTCATCTTTCCTGCAGCAGTTCTTTTCACAGGTTTGCAGACTCTTGCTTCTCGGTGACTGAGGTTCTTAAAGAACTTACGAGAATCAGCACTTGTAATGTCAGGGGTGGCACACTGCAGCAACTGATAACAAAGTGCAATTGGAATGTAGGTTCTTGTACATGAGTTGAGTAATCATAAAAGAGAGAAATATTTTACTAAGCCATTAACATTGTGAATGACAGACCTCAAAGTTAAAATTGTAGGTGTAGAAGCTATTTTTATTTAAAAAATTGTATTTGATGCAAAGTATCAAGGCTCAGTAATGGGTGAGATTTCAGATTCTTATGGGGGCTTGTGTGAAGATGACTGTCTTCAGAGATGTTGAATTTCTGTGAGACTGCATCCCCCTACCAGGTCCTGAAATGCTTCATAGTGCCCTTATACGTCACTGTGTCAAGACTTGTTTCATACTATTTCCAGACGGTTGCTGTGACGGGCGAACTGTGTCATCCAGTGTACATGCACGTATCAGCCTATGCTGTCGACTTCAAAGGAATCTTGTCTCTGATGGCTAAGGTCAACTGGGAGGTCAAGGAGGTGATGAGTCAGCACAGCCATTATGTTGACATCCTGCTCAGGGTATGTGTGATTGCAGGGTTTTACAGCTTGCATTTGTCTTTATGCTGAAACTGTGAAACTGGTGATGTGTAATCCACAGGAGCTGCAGATATTCAGCATGCGGCTTGAAGAGGTTGCAATGCGTGTCCCAATCCCACGGGAGGTGTACGTTATTCTCTGGCAGAGCATCTTCCATCTCACATGCAGCACCTTCGTTGAAGGGTGAGTGTTTGTTGTTCTCTGTGCCCAAGCACCAGTACCGAGGCCTGTAGCAGTCCTGGAGGCACAAAATATTTTGTGGCTATGTGAATGTGTTTATTCTGTCAGAGAATAGGGTCCAGCTGTGGACTTGTATGTTGGTGGTGATAAGAGTGTACTTATGTTGTGAAGAAATAGGTAGTCAGTCAGTTAGTTAATCTGTCATAATTTCAACAAAATTATCACTATTACAAAGAAAAGTCAGAACCTGCCTGACATTTGCTTGCATGAATATATATTTTAAACACATTTCCTCTGAAACATTCTATACCAAGTTCTTGACATGCATATTTTAAAATTGCTATAAAAAACAATATGTTACTCATAATTATCTCAAGTTTTGAAAGTCACCATCATACCTCACAGGTTCTCAAATGCCAAGAAGTGTTCAAATGGAGGACGTGGTCTCATGCAGCTAGACTTCATTCAGTTTTTATCAAAGCTCGAGAAGCTGACTTCTGTCCGACCCATCCGAGGCAGAGACTACGTTGAGAATTACGTCAAGGCCTATTATCTTCCAGAGGCTGCCTTGGAGTCCTGGGTTCGGGAGCACAACGTGAGTGGCTGTTTTGTGACACTGTCATGATGAAGTAAAGTCACTTAAATCATGTGTTCAGTCTGTGGATGAATTTTTATTTTAAAATTTATTATTTGAGAAGTGTTGCTAAATTGAGTGACTGGGGAGAAACGGCCTCACACGAGTAACATGGTGGCATGCCTGCTAAGTAAAAACTGGTGTTGGTGTTGTTATGTTGGCAGGAATACTCATGCAAGCAGTTACTGGCTCTGGTAAGCTGTGTTTGCCAGAATAACAAGAAGACTCGCCAGCGACTCATTGCACTCATTGAAGACATGGAGAAAGTTGGCAGTAGATAGTATGGTGTTCTGCTCAGCATATTAGTGGTGACTGGCACAGAGCTTTGCAGGGACTGTGTTACAGTGTTCCATTGTTTTCTGAATTTTTGTAAGGGACCAAGAAGGATAATCATCATGATAACAGGTATAAAATTCTTTTCCTTAATTTTATTGGATATTATTTAGGGGCCAAGCCAGGGACATTAAAGGTGAAATAATTCTGCATTAGTGACTGATTGATTGCTACTGAATGCAGTGAACAAGTTCTGTTGAGCGTACTGTCATCTGCCTGTAGAAGCTAGACTCTTATTGCTTGTAGTTCATATATATATGTTAATTGATGTCACTACTGTACAAGTGCTTTTATTCATAATACCAGGACAGGATTCTTGATCGGGCTCAGAAGTCAGAAGTTTGTGTGGAATGTCCGGGTTTGTTGCTGTGGTATTGCGATTTGTGTAAGGTACTGGCATCTCTTATGTAGCTACACGGTCAGGGTATATACTATTTACAGTAGTAGGGATTGGGAAGGGAATTTTCATGGCACTGTGCTGCAGTTATTCTTGTCAGTAGTAGTCACTGCCCAAGTACATACCAATAAGCAGTGGACATGGTCGATGTGTTCATGGACCAGTCAACCTGTCTACTATGTGTGGCTTTTGGTGATGTTTGTTTTGATGTGGTGGGTATACTGGACAGACACACAACAGATCGCTGGCCTTTGTATCCTCGGCAGACATCCGGGCCTTACCTGAAGACATGAGGTACCGCACATATGACTTTGGTGGTATTATTGTGAAGCCTAGTCAGGGTAATTATTTGTGTGTGGAATTGGATAAGGGTCGACTCATTCCCTGCTGCCTTCGGTGGTTCTCCGCCCGACCTAGTCAGGGTAATTATTTGTGTATGGAATTGGATAAGGGTCGACTCATTTCCTGCTGCCTTCGGTGGTTCTCCGCCCGCTGCCTGCTCTGGAAACTACTACAAATGGAGAGCAGGTGGCTGTGGGGTTCATTTCTCAGAGACCAGCGGGGAAGATGGCAGCTAATAAATGTCACTAGGGCATACGAAGTTGTATGTGCAGTATGCTGGATCTTCAGGGTAGAAGTGTTTGCTGAGGATGAAGAGGCTGGTTTTCAGTAACCTTTACTGAGCTGATATGTCGTGCAGATTCTTGTTAAGAATGTTTATAGTTTTTATAGCTTTCAGACAAGTCAGAACATGTGAAAATGTTGAAGGATTACAGCCATTGCACTAAAATATGTTTCCATTCTCATCATAGAGGGACATATCAGTTTGTAGTAGGGTTTGGTCTGTATTTGAATTTTGAATAGTTGCATAGTTCAGGCAGTTGTAATTAAAGAAAAGAATATTTTAGAGTTGGTAGTGGTACAATAAAATGAGCGAGAGCTTTGTATAAGCTTAATTAGAAAATTAGCTCGCATAATGAAAGTATCTATTGGTTACTTGAGTTAGGAAGACAGGCGTTTGTCTCACAGCATAGTTTAATACTGGAGAATTTGTTTCTGCAAAATGGAAAGATTTGAACTTCATTTTCTGGTTTGGACTGGTTTAAAATCCAACAGAATTATTCAGTGAGAAAATGCATAGCACTTAGAAAGTGTGTCTAAATGTCCTACAGTTTCCCTGGACAATCCTGGATCTGCTGCATCTGTCCCTAAAAGTGTTCAGGGAAGGTTGGTTATAGATTTTTATAATAAATCAACCTCTCATTCTGATATATGTCCTTCGCAAAGTCCTGTGACACACGTATTAACCATCCATGTCCAATCTATTTTATTTGAATTCTGAAATATCTTAAATCTGACACTGGGTTGATTTTTATCCTCTCTTTGACTTGTATTTGTTATAATGTGTGAAAAATGGTTGTGCTGTCTGTCTGCGTTGAAAGGGATTGACTTCTCCGACTGGCCAGTATGTATGTGTTTGAAAGCCATAGATGTTCACCATTCACTAGGTGGATTCTCCCTCCATCTTGATGTAAATATGTTGTTTGTGTGTACGCGTGCAGAGATTGAGAATAAAATTGCTTGTTACAAGGTCGTTGCAAGTTTATTGTTTTTACCTAATTGGTTGTGTGTCTGTTCCCATGTTGGTATTTGTCAAATGATGCAACATATTCATTGGCTTTTGTTATGGGGAACTTTACATGTCTGGATGTGAAATTGGTTATTACTGTCAAAGTAAACAGTAAAAGTGCAGTTTGCATTGCCTCTGCTGCTATGTTATTTTTAGTTGTTAAAAAATGATTACCATGAATATAATGCACAATTCCCATGTTCCAAGTTCCTTCCAGAAATTTACTGTGTATTATATTTACACACATTCAAATTGTGTAATTATTGTTCAATAGCAAGTGCATCTACCTCAATGAAAGAAAGTGGAATTGTTTGTGGAATGAATTCATAAAGAATGAACAAATTTCTTTCACTTTTGGTACAGAAAAAAAGTTAATTTTAAAGCTAGCAAGAATGTGTTTTTCTCTAGCCAGTTCGTGGGAGTCCTAACAATGAACATGATCAGACAAGCATCTTGTGGTGTCAAAACCATGCGTGGATCTCCCTGTTACAGTAAACATGCCAGTTGGTCAGGTAATAACTTACAAGTTATTGTAACTGCGTTTCTGACATTAGACAGGTGGTGTCAAACTAGACTGTTTTTTTAAATGAAACATGCTTTTGAGTGTTTCGATATTTCAGAAAGTTTGTGTAAGTACAGGACATTCTGCTGTATAAGCTTGAAATAATTTTCTGTTCAGAAAGTGAACGACACAGTGCTGTTGTTAGCACATGTGCTTCATAATTGGTTTAAGTCTTTGTTAAGAGACCCTCTGTCCAGACTGACATATTCATGAATCCTTCTGGCAAATGTTGGACTAGCCCTTAGTATGGGTCATTTCCAATTTTCTGTCCTTTCATCATTATGCAAACCACAAGAAGAATGAGAGGTTCGCCTCATGTCTGAGGTGACACATCCTCTTCATTGTCTGCATCTCTGTTGCCATCCTGTGGGGTTGTGCCTTCAGATCCCTCGTCATCATCGTCTGCATTCTCATTGTTGTTGAACTTTGTTGACAGTTTCACTATTGATGCAGCGGCCTTGAAGAGATTCTGTGCCTTGAGCTTCTCTGCTTTCTTCTTCCACTGCAACAGTTTTGTTATCAGGTCAAGTTGTTTGCAGAGCAAGTAGTCCGTCCTCACATAGCTAAAACTCTACAGTATATCACTGCATAGTGTTTCAAGTGTTATTTCCCTTCTGTAAAGAAAAGAACATCATATAATTATACATGTAGACTGTGAAGTTGGAACACGATACAGAATGTGATGTTTTTGTATAACAAATCAAGACTTGCTATCAGTATATGTGTTTTTGTGAATTTGTCTGAAAGTAATACTAATACGCAAAAATCTTTCAGTGAACCACCTGAATCATTTCACATTCTACCAAGTGCAAGATCCAGAGATTCTGCCTTAAAATGCTGGTAGTTATGCAACTCTCTTACAGATTGTTTTCAGTAAAGAATTTTTCTTCGGAACACAACCGAGCTGCTGGGTACCAACTGAAAACACTGAAGGAAGGTATCACAAACTCAGTGGTTTTATAATGTGGTGGACGGAAGGAGAGAAAGAGAGTGGAATGAGCAAGGGACACAAATGTTGGGTAATCACAGTAAATCAAAAGATGTTTCACACAAGAGTTATGAATCCTTTTAAAAGAACATCTCACAACGTACATACTTTTGACCATTCTGTAAACCTGACTGTTTTCATGCTGCTGCTTTGATTACAGTGAATAATGAATGAGGAGTTAGGATTTATATACCTCCTCATCCCTAGAGGGTAACGCTGCCAAATACTCCTTCATCTCTGGTTTGGCTGGGTCCGCAATGGCTAGCACGGACAAGCAGCCATCAACCGTTCCCAACACGATGTTCTTACCATCTTCTGTACTCTCAATAGCACTTAGTTCTGCCTGCATACGGAAGTTGGCGATCATCTGTGCATCTGAGGTCCTGCAGATGTCACAACATTTTCATATCATCAGTTATATAATGAAGTACAGAAGAAGCATTTTATTTATAACATCTCACAAGAAATTTGTTTTCTGTTCTCATGGGCATGTTCAGTTCTGATTACCGTAAATATTTTATATGCAAGAATGGATAAGCCCTTGCTGGAACCTCATAAACTATGGGATTATGACAAGTAGGGTTGTTGATGGTAATGAAAACAAAACGCAGAAACATCCATTCCGTATGCGATCCCAGTATTAACTTTGTCTAGTGAACCATGCTATCATTACATAATTCTTAAAATGTCAGTAATCTGTATTTTTCCCAGTGAGCAATCTCATCACTGTCTGTCTGCTATGTTCAACACTTTCCTGAAGACTCGCAGTGTTTTCTTGCCGCTGTGATAGTAGAGGACATATTCGTCTGTCTGGTTGAACATGCAGATCACCGTGAATACGCCCTCTGCCACCTTGGGGATGAACGTCTTCACTATGTGGCCTCTTTTCAGTTCCAGGAGCTCAAGTCCACCCCTGCACAGTCATAATTAGGAGCTGAACAGCTTGAGGGTTCTGTCACAGTGTGTGTGCTTCCCTTGTATTAATAGTTTGTGTGGGGCAAACACAGATCAGATCAGAAGGGCGTTTGATTTAATGGCTTTGTTACTGTATGCTGTGTTCTGGAAATGTTTTGACAAATTATTAACTAAACATTCAGATCCATGTCTCTGGCAACAATTAAATGAAACAAAATATAGTTGAAAGTTAAAAGAGTAAATGTAAAAATTTTAGAATTGAAATTTTCTTTAATATTCATCATTCATTCCCTTAGGCATTTTGTGTACCGTGATTAAAAAATTTAATTTTAAATACATTTTAAAGTATAATAGGTATAAGTCATGTGCCCACAGTGCACATCTGCAGGATCACAGAACTCTTGACATTTTACTTGATTCTGTGTGAGTTGGTTAACAATATGTAAGACAGAGATACAGTTTAAGAATTAATGAAGAGAAATTAAGTTAAGAAAAATATCACACAGAAGACAAGAAGAAATTGAGGAGGAACTGTGGAGGAACTGTGGGAAATGAAAGATAGACAGACGTGGTTGCCAGGTAACCCTCTTATAGTGGAAATAAGTTGTGAGAAATAAGAATTTGGAAGTTTGTGGCCTCACCTCGAGGGAGCATACAGGCCATACCGGCCGTCCTTTGTGCAGCCGCCACTCCACTTGGGGACAGTTCTCAGGATATGTTTCTTGCGAATATCAAGGATGGTCCCCTTGTCAGGATCAATGGTAGCCACCAGGTGGGCCTTGTGTGGCATCGCAATCAGCATGCCAACATCCTGTGGATTCGCACATTCTTCTTCATGCACAATGTATATTGTTATGCTGTTACTGCTACTGAATTTATCATAATCAAATATGAGAGGTTAACTTCATGCTCTGGCCACTTTACCCCCTACACAGCATCTATATACATTATTGAGGTGGAATCATCACTAGCTCCATTCAGTGTAGGCTCCTGAAATCTTTTGTGGTGGGTAGATCTTTGAAAAATTTACAATAGTAGTTTAAGAAATTTTTTTTGTGAAACAAGAAATAACAGCATGGCAGTGGTGTGAAATTTAGCATAGATGTGGCTCATAACAGAATCTATAAATTTTATGTGAAGGTTTTTTATTGGTTAAATTTACAGAATGTGAAACAATGTGGAAATAACATTATGTGACATATGTAGACTACTAAGTAGTATGATTATTAATCTTGCGATTTCTCTCTGCATTTCAAGAAAAGCAGACTGATAAGCTTTTTGAGCAACCTGCCAGTATTATGTCTAGCAAAACTGGTCAGGTCATACCTTGGCAGCTGACTGCTTCAGGGAGATCTTACTCAGGAGGGAACCAGTCCGAGCGTGGAAGACAAAGATGGCATCACGACTCCCCTTATCAGCTCCAATCACCACAATGTTCATCCCATCACATGTCACCACACCTGGCTTGAACGATGTTCCGGCCACACACCGCACAGGGTAGTCAGCTGAATAGATCCTTACCCCCTCTGCAGAGAATTCATACTGCAGGCTAATAACTTTCATAGCATCATGTTTAATGTCAGCAAACATGCCATTAACCTAGTGTTAATATGTGCATATGTCAAGCTTTGACTGTTCTGTTTGCTATGTTTAGCTGACACTGAAGGCATTGGAGAATAATTATTGCGGCAGTCATTATATTTTGAAGGACACATAACCTATGTTTTGTGATGGTGTTCCCTTGAAGCCAGTTGTAATTGTTATACTGGCATGATTTTATTTGCAGAGCCCTCCCTCTTCTCTCTCTCTCTCTCTTTTATTTTGGCAGAGCCCTCCCTCTTCTCTCTCTCTTTTATTTTTTTTATTATTATTATTATAAGGAATGGTTTCTGTGGCTTGCCTGGGATAGTTCGAGTGACAATGGTAGCATTGATGCGAGTGACCTCAGCTCCCCCATCGGGAGGCTTGGAGATAGCCAGAAAGCGCTGTCCGTTGTCCAACAGGGTGATTTGCTTCACTCCTGGCTGCTCCTCTTTAAACAGCAGCTGTTCAGTGAGGCGGTTCCAGATCAGAATGTTTCCCGATTCAGCCGACACAATATATCTGGTGGTACAATACAATGGTTCTCTATGTTATTTAAATACAAGGAGCTTCTTGAACAACTGAATGTCAGCTGCTGATAGATACCTTGTACCACGGAGTACATTGTGTTTTCACTCACTTGCTGTCTGTAGTGATGGCGGCATGTGTCACAATGGCTCCCAGTGGACTGTCTGCCAGCCGTGCAACGAGGCGGCCGATCCGCATGTCCCAGACACCCACACAGCCTCGTGTGACCGTAATAGCCAGGCCAGCCGACTGGCACAGGCCGATGGAATCGATCTGCATTTCGTGCCGGTCAATTACATGAACCTGCTCAAATATGTTGTTGATGTTCCACACTTTGACTGTGCGGTCAATGGAGGAAGTGATCACCTGCATCAGACAGGATATTTGTGGAACTCATCAGTGTGACGCAGAGCTGTAACTGTAAGAGCATTTCATAGTGTGAGGACTCACAGAGTTCCAGTTTCCAATGATAAGTGGTTCCAATGTAATGATCCTGCCGAAATGTGCATCCAGCACCTTCACCAGGTCTCTGGAGATTAGGCTCCACACATACAGGTTCTTCCTGCAGAAATTAATTGCACCATCATTCTTCTAGAATAATCACAGAGTTGCGAAGAACAAAAGTATTATAAAAGTGGCCAGCAAATTCTACCTTTCACATGGTAATTTACAGTTCAAATACCAACCACATATTCTGACTGAGGTTTTTATATTTTTCTTCAGTCCCTCCAGAAGAATTTTCACTATTTGTACTAGGCATTAGTGTTACCAAAATGTGATAATTTAAGCCTTCTTTTGTGCTGTATCCTGACAAGTAATTCAAATTACATTTCTTACTTAGAATATTGATCACATCAACTGATAATTTTATATCAGATGAAGAATTGTGGCTGGTCAGAGGTAATTAAGAACTTAACTAGCACTGTAAACATTTCAAGGTCTCTCATTTGGCAGCTGAAAAGCTAGTACAGCTCATTAAACACTGCATCAGAAAGAATAGAATCTGTAAGTAGTGGTTAATTCTTAAGTTATTTTACAACAGTATTTCATCTGCAGAAATTATATAATTTTAAAAGAAACTGCGATCATGATTATGATTGGTGAGTGGATGAGGACTTCAAAGGAGATACTCCCAGTATGTTCAATGATACTATCCCAGCATATGCCTGGAGAGACCGTGAAAAATCATATGAAATCTTAGTCATGACAGGCAATAACATGGCATAGCCTTGAACCAGGTACCTCCATAATAAAATTTACCACTATACTTTTCTGTAGTGAATGCATTAGCAAGTGAACATGTGTGTGATTGAATATCTGGTGCACTTATGTAAACCTGACGCCTGCAATGACATAGTCCCTGGCTGCAGAGACCATGCAGGAGTTGGAGCAGAGGACACGCGTAGAGATGTTGCGAACACCGTGAGGAAGGGGCAGCACGACAGCTTGGTTAGGATGGTGTGCGTCATCTCCAAACTCCCACACCACAAATCCGTTGCCAGATGTTCCCAACAGTGTTGTCTCCTCTCGATCAAACTTCAGCTGTAGTAGCACCTCAAGGTCGTCATTGTCTGCACGGGGTAGCTCTCTCTGAAATAACCATTTGAGATTGCAGCCAGTGAAATACGTATGTTGATGTCTGTCTGCTTGAGTCCTGCTGTCTTCAACCACAGTTACCTGCTGCGTCCACTGGGAGGAGCCGGGGTCAGCTCGGTACTGTGTGACTCCATAGTGTCCCTCCCCCTTGCAGCAGTAGATGGTGGATTTGTCCTGTGTCATCACCATTGCACTGCAACACATCAAGGTAACCACATTAATACGCACATGTAGAGACATTCACTTCATCCTTTGTCTGTTCCTTCCTTCCTATTTTTCTTACCTTTCCTCCTCCCTTTTCTTCCTTCCATCTGTACGTTTACTATTTTCTTCCACTCTTGTTACTTATCCCTACCTTGCATCCTTACTGTTTTCTCTCTCCTAAGTGTTGCAGTGTAGTCGTTAGATTCCTGTTGTGTGTTTGTGAAGTTCCAGAATGAAATCTAAACTATGAGATTGGTCATCCTCACTGAAGTTTTTATAAGAGTGCAGATTGAAACTGTTTGAGGAAATCTGGCCATAAGGGAGAGCCAGTTACAGGAAAATGGAATAAATTGCACAACAAGAAGCTTCATGATTTGTATTCTTCAACAAGAATTATTAACATGACCAAATCAAGGAACATGATATGGATGGCACATGTAGGGATGTGAAATATATATACAAAATTGTAGTCTTAAAATCTGAACGGAAGAAACCGAGACCTAGAAATGAATGGGAGGGCACTGCTGAACTGAATGTTATGGGAATATAGTGCGACAATGCTGAGTGGATTCATCAGGTTTAGGATATGGTCTGGTGGCTGCTGCCTGTGAACAGGATAATGAACATCCAGGTTCCTTATTAGGTGGGAATATCCTGACCAATTTGGTAACTTTCAGGTTGTGAAGAAGGACTGTACTGCATGGACTTAGTTGTATATTACATTTTAGGTTAGGTTAGTCATAGCAGAGAAATTATAATGTCTCTATGTTCTGCTGCACTAGGCATTTGGAAGTGACTACAGCTTGCATATATGAGTGCACTTGGCCCTCATGACTGCATCTGTACCTGTGGAAGTGGAACGGTTCCAGTGTTGGATTCACTGTGTGCAGTAAGAGTAGTGGGTCATCCAGTGACCCACTCCAGAACAGCAGCCGGTATGTGTCCAGGGTGCTGAATTGCATGGAGAGAAGGGGCCACCTGTTGGGGTCCTCAGGGCTTTTGTACGTGCGTTCCAGCTGCCCTCTCATGTTGAACTGACACCTGCAAGACTGACAAATTTACAAACTGCAAAGGTGATACAGTATCTTATGACCAAATATTCAAAACATTCCTATCTGTACTGTAAGGGTCCACTCACCAAGATCCTGTGCCATACACAAACAAGTGAGCATTGAGGAGGTATACCCCTTTAATTGGTTCGTGTTCTGGCAGAGGGTTCTCCATGATGTTATACTCGCTTGTCAGTGTGTTCAGCAGCACAGTCTGCGAACACATGAGATTATTATCATGCCAATCACTGGTATTATTTACTGCAAACATTGATCATAATAATACTGCCATGATTCAGTCTGTAGCAAGTAGGAAGTGGTATTTCTTCCACATCAGATGTGGTATCCGGTTATATCACCACGACTCAATACCAGGGCGTCATTTTTGGTAATGGTTGTCACTGTACAAGACTCACGTGGTTGTTGTTGGTGTAAGCAGCAGCAAATCTGTTGTCTGGACTGAGTACCAACTGCTGCATGATGCCTTCTATGCCAGGGTTTACATCTCGTGTCAAGTCACTTGTTGACAGGTCCCATGTGATGAACTTATTTGAGATCGATACAATGTAGCGTAGGTCAGACGTCAGACAGAACCCAAACACTGCGAACTGGTGGCCTTCCAGGGAGTACTGTGAGTCAGACCAATCACATTCAAGTGGCTAGCAGACATGTGTTTATGATGGAAGTTACATCCAAGTAGATTACATTGATTTTAAATAATGAAAAAGTTGTAAGATTGTAAAAGCAGTGTTGTTAAATGAGTCTATGTGGAGAGTGAACTTAACGATAGTGTTAGGGATTAAGAATTTTATGATGATGGTGGTGGTGGTGGTGGCAACAGTATTGGTTCTAGCTGTAGCAATAGAAGTAGTAATGATGATGTGATTTGTAGTGCTTTGAGGTCACAAATGACCTGGTACCAAAAATGAAACAGGTGCAAACTGGACATACTTTCAATGGTCCCCCTGGAGTATGAAGACAGTGGTAGAGTGGCAGCAGTGCGCAGTGCTCTGGCCCTGTTTCATCACACTGTTTGAGCAGCATCTTCACATTTGGGTTTGGTCCTATCTCTGGCAGGAGCCGAGACACCAGCTGAGGGGCCAGCATGTTTGGATACTGCCCCAGAATTGCTCCACCCAGTCGCAGGGCATCTGCCACCAACATCAGCTCTCTGTGACAGGGTGGGAGTATATGTTATTATATTCTTAAATTGTAAAAACGTTTAAATGCCATATCGTTAATATGTAAAGTATTTCAATCACTGTTTTAGTGTTGGTGCTTAAATTGGTGAGAACAAAACAGAATTTGTTAATCAAGGCAACAGTTCGAATGGGTATCGATCTTGACTGGTTTCTGTTGGCCCTTCCTTGTAATCTATTATTTATTGCTAATATAATGAAGACCAGGGCTGTGCAACATTGCTTTTTGGGCTGCATGTGGTTCTTAAAAATGCAGCTTTATTAATGACCTGAGATTGAACCACATTTTTGTGCGTTTCAGTTCTATAGTTGCTAACAAACATACACAGCAGGAGTTGTGTAAACAGAGTATACTAGTAACTTCATCTTGTACAGAAATGAGAAAAAAATCTGCAGCACAGCCTCAAGTAAATACCTGGAAAGAAGCAAACGTGTGAGTGTGTTGCAGCTTATGTGAAAATGCAGTTTGCTGATTGCAACATGGAGATAACATTTATGACCTGAAGTCATCAAGAACATAAATGAAACTGAATGTGCAGATGCCAGGTTGCTTTAAAAAAATCTGATGAACTGGAATCTTACAGAAAATGATTAAAGTTATTTGTATGTGTGTGTATATTTGTAATTCATGATAGGTGTCATTCGTCTGACTTTGTCCTTGCACAGCCCAGTTCAATATGATTATTTTCACAAGAAACTACCAGACCAAGGGGTAAAGTCCCCAAACGTATAACATTACAACAGTCCAAGCGCTGATCAAGCTAAAGGACTAAGGTGGAATTTTACATTGCATAAGAAGAAGAAGAAGAAGAAGAGAAACAGTGCAGCGAAGAGGACGTCAGCACTCGCAGCATGAAAGTGCTGTTCCCAGCTTTGGTTGTGAACACAGAGTTCAGATGGACAACCCTGAAGTGCAAATCAGATATGTCTAAAGAGGAAGAAGGAAATGTTGAGAGAACACAAGAAGAAAGAGCAAAATGAAGACGATGAGCGGAAGTCATTCACACATAATAGTTACAGAATAGGGCATGCACAGCTGCTCAAATCGGACCCCGACCAAACCACACGAACAAGTACGGTCTCTTCCCTTTGAACACATTGCCAGTTGCAAGAACGATTCAGCTTCCATTTAAATCTGCACTTGACTTCTTCGATATTTGGAAGTAAGAGGGATGAAGAGAGGAGGCTGGAGATAATTATATGATGAGGAGCTTCATAATTTCATAATTTGTTCTCATCACCACGTACCATTGTGATGATCAAATTAAGGAGCTTGAGATGGGCAATGAAAATGCATACAAAAATGTTAGTTGTGAAACCTTAGGGGAAGAGACCAATTAGAAGATCTGGGCGTTCATGGGAAGATGATATTAAAATTAATCTTAAGAAACTAGGGTAGGAGAATGCAGACTGGATTCATCTGACTCAGGATGGACAGGTGGCGAACTCTTAGGAACATGGTGAGGAGGCTTCAGGTTCCATAAAATGCTGCGGATGTCTTGACTGTCAGCATCTTAAGAAGGATTGTATTTCCTCAAGAATTACACCGATTTAAACATAGGGATTTAAGGGGTCTAGTTTTTAAACATCCTTGTTGGTCACTCTGCATGTAAATAATGTTGAGTTCAGTGTAGTGAGTTGAATGACAGAAGTCACAGTACTTTGTGTGGCTTGGTTTAGTAACTTTTAACAGTTAAGAATAGGAAGCTGAAAACAGAGAGATAGCAATCAAACAGGTCATGTGACTCACCTCAATTTCTTTCGGATCTGTTCCCTAGCAAGGAAAGAAACATCTCACAATTTGTTATTATGCGCTTCATTTAACAAGCAAATGCAGTGTTGCAACAGCATAAGTGGGGCAGGACACTTCATGGTTAACCTTAAATGTTTTACCTTCTCTCTGTCATTTCTTAGCTTTTATGATCACAGTGAGTGATTTTAGAATTGGAATGAAGTCGCAGAAATGATCTTGTTTCTGAGATTACCGCAGCATTGCTGTGGCAACACTGCCTCTTATTGCTGACAGAAATTTAGGACAAGTTTTATACATGAATTTTAATCTGATTTAAAACATTTAGTATTTAATTCCAAGATTTAACTACACTCTTTTTAAAATCAGTTTTCAACAATATTTTATATTTCATGCTGGTTACATGCAAAATAATTGAAGTAGTTAATTTTCTGCATACTGTGCAAACTGTATTACACACATGAGTAATGCTGTTTATATAAAATTCTGTAAACTTTTCTGCTGGTTTATCAGACATTTTACTTGTTTGTGTTAAAAGTGATCCACTCCTTAGAATTCTGTACTTTCAGTTAGAACAGCAACTTTACTCTCGCAACACCTACCTGGTTGCCTCCCTGTCCTCAATGTTGTTGCACGCATCTTCAAAGTCACTGAGCACAGCCTGCAGCGGACATGAAGACAGCTTCGCATGCAGCCACTGATAGTTGAATAGCACGTGCTCGTACAGGTCCTGGAAACGGCGTGACCTCACCATGTGATACGGCATCTCACCAAACTTCAAATGAAAACAACACAGATCATCACAACTAGACAAGTAATTAGATTATAAATTAACTATTAAGCTAACAGACTAAATCATTATTGAACTAACAAACTGCTTCTTACAGTTGCAACTTGTTAGTTTCCGCATTCAACCCCCAAGTTACAGGACCATCGTTTGTCATCTGCCCATGACTGTTTTTAGTATATCCACAGCTCTCCTTATCTGGAGGCCTTCTACTCCATTCTCACCCTGAGGACGTGCCATGCTGTGGTAACAGGGCACCCATGGGAACTGAATTCTGAAATACTGTTCAGATGATCCTCATGTTTGAAAGGATTACATATTTCTCTTTGCCATCATCACCACTTTTGTGGTTTTCTCATTTGAGACAGTGATTTTATGAGGAAGTAAGATGCAGTAGCAAAAATAATATATTTTTCACACATACAGAACACCGAATGGCAAATTCAATTTACGAAGACGATTACAGGTGCGGGCTCCACTGAAGAGTGAAGAGCTCTCCAGTTTGCCTTTATCACAGCTTGCTGACTTTATGTCAACAGCTGATCAGCCATTTTCCAGCATCTTGCGCACTTCTCGGTGAATGTGTTTGCTTTCATGGCACCCAGTTTTTAGTGAAAGAAATAGCAACTGGAAACCATGAGTGTTTGTGACATGAAGTACCTTCCTCAAGTTGTAGCGTGAGACTTTGCCATCCTTGGAGTGAAACACAAGTGGCTGGATGGGAACTTTCCGGTCAGCTGATCCCTCCTTGTCAGTCAAGTTGAACCTGTACAACAGCATCACCAAGCAGTGGTTTTATCTGTTTGTTGCATGGCAAGAAAACACTACAGAAACTGCCCAATATTTATGCTCTGAAAGAACTGGAAATAAACTTTTGATTCCAAAACAACAACAACAATAATTTTAATTGATAATCTGGTACCATAAATTGAGAAACCTGTGCTGATTGATGCCTGTGACATAGTGATGATATCACGGTTCAGCTGTATTCAGTCTGGTTGACAAGTTCTAATATGTGTTCTGCAGTTCACCATTTAAACTACTGATGATTTTAATTATGATAATGATAAGAGCAGTAATAATAAAGCAACAGGTAGAGTGACAAGAACATCAGTGATTATAATAATAAGGAATCTAAAATGATCTTTAAATTCAAGGACCTTGTGATAAACGTATACTGTACAGGTGAAAGAGATGTCAGGTATTGTTAGAACAACTATTAATTCTTACATAATATCTGTGTACAATGAGAGCTGACAATGTGAAACTTAACTGCAGTTGGAGGGTGTGTCATAATGTAGTTTTCTTGTACACAAGGTCGCCGAGTACAGCTGTTATGTGCAGATATTATTTGCCTTATAACCAGTATCGTGTCACATACCGTAACATTATTGTTATCTGAAATTATCCTCTACTTCCAGAACAGCATCAACTAATGAGATACGAGATTCTCGTGGTGGTGATCAGATCAATATTGGTCTTCTGGGTTGTAGTAACATGTGGACTTGTATGTAGATACCGTCATTTGTTAGGAGAATACTGTCTCCATCATTGCCTGAAGGTGAAGGCAGTATGTCCACACAACATTAAAGCACAGAAGACCAACATGGACATCATTTAATTCTCCACATCAAAGAGAACAATACTCTCCAAGATGTTATATCGAAATCGTTATGTCCAGAGATTCATGCAGGTGAGCAGTTTAATTTCATCTGTTACAGCGGACATAACAAAGGAATTCAATTAATAAATGATAACATAATAAGCATTCAGCTTTGTGTAGTCCTGACCTATGTCGCTGTATCTCGGTGTACTTGAAGGGCTTAGGGTTTCCTCCTCCCCAGATACCCAGATAATAGTCAGCAATGGATGAGTGGAAGTACATAGCCATGTTCATGTTCTTGAAATACCTCTCGCGCGCTGTATCCCGGAACTGCCTGCAGACACACGCATCCTCCGTTATTGGTCACACCTACCAGGAAGTTCTGGGTTTGAATCTTAATCCAGATATTGTCTCTTATTTCCTTCACTTCCTCCAAGCACACAGTGGGTACAGTACCTTAAAATAGGCCATGACAGCTTTCTTCTATATCCTCTCAAATTCATCGTTCACAATCATCTCAAAATTCATTGGTACATGATTGAACAACCCATTTTTCTGCTTACATTTAACAGGTTACAGTATGATGTACATTTAATTAAATGCAACAGAAACATAATTTATGCCATTATGCAGTGGAACATCTCGGCCCTTGGTTACCCTTTCCTTTTCATGCTTGTTTATACAGTTCAGTCACACGAACCTGTGGTACCAGTTCATAACGCTTACACCATCTGCCTCTCTCTCTGACAGGTAATTGGGCAGGTCATTACGGATCCGAGTCCAGAGCAGCGGTGGGATACGTCGCACGGGCGGCAGATGGTACTGGTAAACGTCATCCAGCACCTTGTCATCCAGAGAGATCAGGTCCTCCAACTCTGACTCTGACAGACCACTCTTAGCAGCAGTGATGTAGGCAAGTGCGTGGAACACGAGGATGCGACCATGCTGCGGGCAGACCGTTCAGGAATTGAAAAAGCCTGCCATTTCACCCTGTCCCAGGTCAGTTACAATCTGCTTTACATCCTCTCAGCCATTTACAATTATATTTTTGGTTCCCCAAGTGGCTGTTTCCGCTTGCAGTGTTTATGAGCGTGTTACTTGTTCTGCTGATTTCAGCTTCCTTACTTCATTTGCATAAGAATGTTATATGAAGATAAAAACATGAGAAACCTTTTGTTATGAGACTTTCTCCATTCCTCATTAGATAATTACTCTTGAAATGTTCTCTTAATGTGTAAACACACACTTTTACTGCCATTCTTTAATATGAATCTAAACTATGTAAATGTGTAATAAATTACTGATAGACACATAAAACTGTTCCTGCGCTTAAATATCATACCATGAAGATGTATGGGGGAGTGGAAGTAATGTTCCATACACCGTCAATCAGATGGATATGAGTGATTAGCTTTAGTCTCTGGCCATGTCACCCCCAGTACCAAGCCCAGTAGGCAAAAGAGTGCATACCTGCTTCTCAACCCGCTCAAACAGCAGCATGATGGAGTCCATGACAGTGGATGCTAGGTATGTGTCCTGCGGCTTGGTGTAGCTGCGCCAGCGGCAGATCTCGGCAAATACGAGCTTCACAAAAATTGGCAGTGAGCACTGCCCAACCGCATTGCACACGAGCCGCCACTGATAGTTGGTGAGGTCACGGCATGCTGTCTGCATCCACATCCTGTACACAGAAAGATACGGGACTGACTAACTGGCTGGCTGGTCTTAGATGTGGTCCGTCAAGACAAATTCTGGAGTACTCCCTTCAGATCAGCCAGCATTGCTGCTGATATTCAGTTTGTTACCTGATGATCTGCATGGCGAGGTCTTCCCCCAGGTCTGTGACTTCCAGAAACAACTCCTCATTATCAATCATGCGTCGCAACAGATGATAGTCCTGACTGACCTCTGGGTTGTCAGCCTCTGCAGCACATGACACCAGCAGCTGGAGAGGCAAATTACAGTCAGCAGTGAGTTAAGGTAATATCTGGAGTTTAATGAAAATGTTGTATGTAATTTATACCACAGTCAGCAGTGAGTTAGGGTAATATCTGGAGTCTAATGAAAATGTTGTATGTAATTTATACAATTTGATGACATTTTCATTTCTGTTATGTACCACACTGACAGAATGGATGATTTCTGAGAACTTGAGTAACTTGAAAACTTCAGTTGGAATCATTAAATCAGTCAGTACTCGAGAATAACTTGCTTATTTAATTTAAACAGGTGTGTGATGCCCATTGTCTGCAGGATATTCACCTTGCAATATGGTGGCAAGCGGAGTGGCAGCCATGACACCTTGTTGGCATCTTGCGCTCCAGTCAGTTGATCCACTGAGTCTAGGAACAGGAAGATTGGTTGCTGCTGGTTGGCGTAGGTGAGCAGGTGCTTGAAGTAGGCTGTCAGAGGTACAAGGTCCACAGGGATATCCTCAAATGGCAGCATGTAGTTGTATGAGATCTGTAGGAATTGGCAGATTCTGTCTTGTCTGTGTTTTGAAATATTTCAGGGACACAAATTGCGTGCGTTCTGCGCTAACTAGATGTTCGTCACATAACTCAGTGGGGAATAGTTGAATATTAATTATTATAGTGGCAAATGTTACTAGTTTCCAGAATATAGAGAGAAACCTATTATGTATGACCTCTAATAAACAGAAACTAATTAACCCACAAACATAGAATAAAAATGACAGGTTAACAGAAAATATTCTTCTTGAATATTTATTCTTTCCTGTTCATATAAATTTACCTGAAAGGAACATTCTTGTTACAGATGGGAAAGAAATATGTCTGTCAGCTCAAAATGCGCCTAGTACTTTAATCGACTTTTCGAAAAACCTATCAAAGAAAGGATAATACATTTATTGGTCAGAAGCAGCATAGCCTGCTCCTGTATGTGACTTGTTATTTCAGCCATCAGTACAGTGAATATGCAGTCTGTTTGTCCAGAAACAAGTTTCTTGGGATCCCATCCCCTACCTGCTGGCAGATGGACACCAGGGTGGGGGTGAGGGCACTGCTATCAGGTGTGGTGCCCAAGAACCTGATGACGCTGATGGGCTTGCTTCCCTGGAACCATTCCGTAGAAGCAAGTCCTGCTGACTTGGCCAGCAGGGATGTCTTGCCACACCCCCCTTCCCCATACAGTACCATTGGCTTTTCACAGTCACTCAGCATATGTCTCCTGATGCGCTCCAGTCCATCCTCTCGCCCGTAAAACACCTGGAACATAATGTTCATCTCGCGATGTGTATCGATCACTTCGGCCGAGGTTTGCGCACGGCATCACAAAATAAACTGGACGACAGATCACCTTGACAGAGTTGTTGCAGGCGTGGAGATGCTGTAGGATCTCCGTCACAATCTGACCCTGCGCGCTAGAGTCCTCCTTGCGCAAGGCTCGATCCACCAGCTTTGTGATGTTCTTGTAGAAGTGCGTGATGAAGTGCTGCAAATACTCCTCGTGCGTCTCTGTGTCCAGCCCCTCCCTCCCGATCCACTCAACTGTGTACCTGCCGCATATTAGGCACCGAGGTTTAAGTAAACTAAATTAACAAAATCAGGTTCTGTAATGAGGGTCGTACTGAACTGGCTCAGTGTTGGAGGTGTTAAACCTTTGCTTCCTGACACCTGAATTTGCTCAGTTGTTCAGTCGCTGTTTCTGCTAGTCACACAGTTACTCAGTTAGTCTCTTGCAGAGTAAGTTTATTGTCTTTCTCTTAGCCCTTTGCGACATAAAGTTCATCTAAATAATTTTTAAAAACTGGACCCTCTCCTGAACTACTTTAAATCAGTCCACACCCTGACATAATTTTTTTTTTTATTTCCAACTTAATATTATCTTGCCATCTACACCTTTGTCTCCCAACTTGTTTCTTTATTTCAGATGTTTATGTATTTTTCATTTCTCCCATGTGCTACCTGTCTTACAAATAACATTTGGTGAAGATTATGAATTATAAAGCTCTGAACCACCTCTGCAGGTTTGTGGCCTCTATCTTGGCCGGCAGACGTTCATCCCTCAGGTTTGCCAGTAGCTTACAGGACTCTGTGTCCAGACTTCTGTTCAGGATGTCAACGAACAGCGATGCCTTCTTCAGGTTCTGAAGGTTTATGTTGTTGATGTATCGCACATATGCGAGGCAGTGATTCTTGGTGTTTTGAACGCTCAGGACACCATTTATTACCTCCCGCTCCGTCACTGCAACAAAACTAGGCATTGTTTACAACCGTTTTCCATGCAGCCTGGTAACTTGAAGCACTACGGTGCATCTCACCAGACATGAAGTAGTTGTGCATCGTATCCTTGTCAATTTTGCCGCCGTTTGCTAGAGAGAGCGCTGCTTTGCGGAGCAGCTTCTGCATCTTGCCAAGTGTGTCCCACCACACGGCCTGGTCGTGCTGCTGAAGCTTAGGTATGCGCTGCAACATGGAATTGTCTGTTGGTCCTCTCTGTCAAACTTGCTGCCTATTTTCTGTATGCATATGTGTTACCAGTAATGTTAAGATCAGCCAGATAATGCTGACATCATCAGGAAAGAGCATGTGAAGATGGAAATAAGATAGTAAACAAGTTGTTGTGGGTATGTTGAACATCCAAAGCAATCCACAAAGGAAGTATAATATTCCACTGTCAAACTAGGCCTTCTTTAAGTGACTGATGTTAGCATTAACTGGCTGAAGAATAAAATGTCTTTCCAAACACAAAAATCCTAATATCGCAAAGAAGGGCCTCCGGATGACATGCGTGCAGTGTGTGGTGTGTGACCGACTCAATACGCATTACTTCTTTGGGGGTAACCTCGGCTTTCACCTTGTTGTTGAAGTTGATGAGGATGGAGGATATGGGCTGTAGCACAGAAACTGGCGGCACTGCATTGCTGTCCTTGCGGTACCACGTGTCCAGGAGCACGGGATCGATTCCTGAGTTCACCAGCTCGTCCCGCAGCATCTGCAGTTCCGACGACAGGATGTAGGTGGGGATGGGGCGGTACCCATACTTCTGCCCCAGGAACACCTGCAGGAAGTTGCAGACCGCAGTAAGTGACAATACTCATTTCACTGACCTTTTAGATTAGCCTTGCTTGTAAACTAGTGTTTTATAATTTTATGTGGAAATTCTGCAAGTGTCGGACACGAATGACGTTTTCATCGCAGTGCTTGTAGTTGTTGGCCCGGGCCATCGCGAAGGCTTCGCCCCTCCCCCACGTCATCTGGGGGGATGGACAAAGGGCCCTTTAGAAGCCGAGTTTACTGAAATGTAGCCTTACCCCGTCGCAGTGATTCTGCAATTGCTAGTTCCCGTCAGCGAACTCACCACAAAGTTTGGACCCATAGACAACCGCTGGCAGTTGGCTATCTCTCGCATGCACAGCTCCGTCGTCATGTGATCGTCAGTTGCCTCGTCTCTCACGCCCCACCTCATGTCCACCACCTGAAACATAACCTCACCTCAGCACTTCCTAATTTCGTATCTTTAACAAAAGTAAAACATGGTCGACGAGGAACTCGCAGTTTTGTTGGACTTTCTGTAGACCGTAAAATAGCAAATGGCAGGCAAGTAAATTCTACGCTTATCGTCTTTGTCCGGTTTAAATAAGTAATGGAGGATTGTAACTCGAAGTGTGAAATGTCATATGGAAGTGCGCCTAGATCATAAACATTCTGAGTGAGTCATTTTTGTACATCACAAATTACATAGGACAACGTGTCGATGCTTTGAAAGTATATCTGAGAATTTTAGCGTTGAGGGAATCCATGTCGTGGGCTTTAAGTTCGAAAATATATTTGTAAGTTGCGTAATTATTAATTTATTATTGTTCCAGTGCCCAGTTTTTGCATGTGGTCGGTGTCTTAGCACGAGGACATTTGCCACTAACAGGCACACGATAATGCCGTCTCGCGTCTTCTTTCTCGTTGTGTATTTGGACGTGGTCATAAGTTGAGGTAGAACCTCACAGTTCATTATGACGTTATAGTTAACGCATTGTTTCTCGTTGGTCCTGTGTTGCGAAAGGAACTGACATTTTGCACACCCTCTCGTCATGATGCAGACTTTCGAAACCGCGAATAAAGAGGGCTTGTACCAGGCTGGTACGTCCCCGTGGTGCCAATCAATAAATAGTGGCTCTAAGTTGCACAATATAACGAGTTTGTCTGACAAGCAAATCGTCTTACATTACGAGTCAACAATCAATAAAGTCCGAAAACATTTTGACTCTTCATTGTCGTATCTGCATCTGCATCTGCAACGAATGACCGCAACCTCCATTGGCCGTGTACAGTCGCGCAGAAAAAGTTTGGAAAATGTGTGCGAACTGCTCTTCCTTTGGATGACTTTTCTGATTTCTTTGCCGTGTCACATTTTGGAAAGAAGATTGGCCTACAAGCAACGTTTCTAAAAGTTATAAACGGATATGTAAATGGATTATTCTCATGCTTTAGGCGGTCGCCTGGTATCGCTAACGTGATTAATGGCGAGTATCAGGTGTGCTGAACATGTAGCATGCAAGGGGTACAAGTTATGCAAACAGCACTTCGGTTACAAAATCTCGCGGTCAGAGGCCATTTGGACGGGGTAGCATTGCCATGCGAATCAAGTCTCTAGATTGGCTTCACTGATGTCGGGATTGCCTTACTTGAAACTCCAGTCCGTGTTTTTCCCGGCAATAATCCTTCAGTTTGGGGTAACACTGGGCCATAAGTGTGTTCCTCTCCATTGTCGTGTCTGAAACAGGGAACAACCGTGTGTTTACCACTGCACCTGATGTGATTTACTGGGTAAAATTTAGTTTAGGAGTTTAAAGACGGAAAAGCATATATTTGTATTTTATTTTCGGCAATTGGCAACACTGATGGGAAGTTGTGATCTGTTCCTGTCATTTGTCTAGTCCGAAACCTTAGTAACCACCTACAAGATCATACGGCGCCCTGGCGAAGGAGACGATATGTCCCTCCGAAACACTGATAATCACCAACAAGACCGCATTGAACTATAAGTAGAAGACTGCGATTTTGATGGCGACGTTAAAAATACGTGAATTAAAATGAAGATGGCTGTCTGTCGCCCTGATGATGGAGGCAGCAAGCACGCCTGAAACGTCGGTAAACTTCTACCAGACCACACGGCGCAACAACCCAGAAGACGGCCATCTTCAGACTCACCGCAGTGAAAACCTCAAATTCTACAAGAATTAAAATGGTTATGTGTGGGTCTCTCATACCCAGTTTTATCGAAATCGGTTACGTAGTTCGGCTGCCACTAATTGTAGACATTCGGCCACGACGAGACAAATACAGCGCCACTTTTCTAAACGATAAGAAGTGGCCTACCGACAATTGTGAAACAAAGCTCCTTCGTCCCACCTGTGAAAGTGGAGCTGGTGAAGATTCGGACGATCTTCGAACTGACGGGGGGCAGGCTCTCCAGAGAACCCACGAAAATCAGGTCCACGGTTCTGTCGTCCATCGTGCAGTAACGTGGCAACTCGACTGAGCATCCCGCTAGGCCGCCCGCACCCGATGCGCAGGGCAATATTTTTCAAACTGCGGTTCACGACCCATCAGTGGGTCACGCCTTGTTGGCTATTTTAATTCAAATGCAGGTGCGTAACCCTTAGAAACCGAAGCCCTTGTAAATAATATTCAAGGATTCAGTCTGTATCGTACTATCATTTTATATTTCTACAGTGGAGTTTACATATTTGAAATATTATTGCAAATACTAACATAAAAATTTTAGTTCGAGATGGTTATTATTAATCATATCATATTTTGTTGTTGTATGTGAAGGAAGTATACTTTAGGTGCATGATTAAACTTGACTGTGTCTGTTATTAGTTTTAATTCTGAGCATAAACGTTTTTTCAATCCACTATTATCGCATAGAATATAATGCACCGTGCAATGACAGCATGGCTACCGGTTGTGGTATCCTAGACAAGGAAGGCGAAAAGTGAGGTAGCTAAGACGTTAGCTTTACCATGAACAGGGAATTAGAAATATGAGTTTGGATTGATTACCAAATTTCATGAAACTCCATCCACCAACACTTTTCCAGTCATGTTAAATGCCTACAGTCGGATGTCGTGGGAGACGCTGTCATCGGGGCTGTGCATGCGCTGAGGGTCAAGAATGCGACATAATTGTTTCAGGTCACAACTTTGGGCATCCAGCACATTAAAATGGAACGGAATGATGATGATGAAAAGGCAATTGAAAAAAATAGAAACAAGTACATTTTTTAGCCTACAAACTGACAGAAACTTAAATTTGAAAATACATATTTAATACATTATCCCTAAACTAACCTTGGCATCACTCCTGAAAACAGATACTTTAAAATTAGTATACTGTGCTTACGTCCATTGGATCACGCTGTATGAAATTATTTTCTGGGAAAACTCAACAGACAGCAAATGGTATTTCACATTAAAATGGAAATCATTAGAATAATGGCAGGCACTAAATGGGAGTTGTTTAAGAAATGGAATATTCTTCCACTGGGAAGCAAATTCTTGCTTTCGATATTATCATTACCTCATCCAAATATTCTCAGCTCGTATAAATACTTGTAAGCAATAGTGGTTATGCTTTCTTGTTTAATTATTTTTGTGCTGTGACATGTTCTACATCCTTGGCTTAGGTGCATGAAGTGTTCATGGAATACAAATAAATTCTCTTCTAGTCTATTCTATTGACAGTGTATGTTCGAAATATGTGCACAGTGTCAGAGCTTGCACCATAATTTTTCTAAGGTCTGCAGATAACAAAATTTCCAGGGAAATTGAAGTCAGTTGAAAAAACTAGCATTTTGGTCAACAGTACTGGTGAAATGAAAGGAAAATTTGAGAATATGTGGCACAGTGGATTACTTAAAAGTTCATGCATGTAGTAATGAGATGATCAAAGAGTGTGTTGATACTTATCCTTCTGCAGTCAATATTTTCCAGTTTTTATGACCACTTATTTATTAAATTCTGGAAAGTGCAATTTATGCCAGCTATGGACAAATGTTTCAATAGGTTGTTGTTCATCATTAGTAGTTAAGTGAATTTACTTACTGGTGGCATAAACAATGTCCCTGTCACAATCTCAGATATTAAAGTGTCAAATTTGAGTTTGATTAATGAAGAAGTTTATTGGAGAGAAAAAGATTCTTCTCCATTCATTACAGTTCCTTGAACAGGAGATAAAATCAAAGAATAGACTTATAAGACTTACTGTAGCTTTATATGATGCTTATATAAGCACAGAATGGAGAAACCCATCAAGACAGATGATCACAGTGAAAATGCACAATTGTTTGGACATATAAAATGATGTTATTTTGCAGTTCCACTTGTGAGTGATACCAACATGATGGGTGTAAACAATGTGAATCTCAATGTAATATAGAAAGTTACAAGCTGTGATGAAATCTTGTTAATTAAGGGTGTTTGGTATTCATGAAGTGTATAGTGCTGTGGTACCTTTAATAGGATCTCGTGACTCTAAGTATGTTGGACGTATGTTCGAAGATGTAGCTATTTAAGTGCTGGTGTATAGTGTATGTAGTTTTTTCAGTATTTTCTATGTTAGTGGAAGATTTAAAGGTGTCACTCATTTGTAAAATGGTAATCCTTTATATATGCAATTTAGAGGTTAGGTTCCGGTTATCGATATGCATCTTTTTCTGGTCTAGTAAGCTAATTCTGAAAACGTTAGGTGTTTCTGAGTGTCAGGATTTTCTTAAAATATTACTCCTAGGAAACGGAATAATGTTTAGTATCCGTGGTTATTTTGTTGATCGTTCGTATCTACTCTCTGACATGGAATACTGGATTTGTAATCACTGGTTGTATCGATTTAATTCCTCCTTCAAAAGAGAAGAAATTTTGCGTTGTTGGAGGTGGGAGTTGCTAATCGATGTTGGTTGATAGTGTAATACTACAGGGTTTACATATACATGTATGTAAAATTGGAATATATTGAATGTCAAGGATTTTGTGTGTGTGAATACATTTCACAAATTATTCGATTTTACAGTTGTGGGATTTTAGATTTTCATGGCGGTAAATCTGAAGATGGCTGTCTTTGGGTTGTTGCATGCCCATCCTGAATTTTGTAATTCGCCCATTCACATTAGCGATATTGTTTCGTGTCTATAAAGAACGATACCGTTTTGGTTGTGTACCTGCCCCCTCCGTCTTTGGTAAGTCCCCTCACTGCATGCCAGTGTTTTTGTTTTGCTGATTGTTGCTTCTACACCAACACTGATATATGTAATTTAATTTTTTAGTCTGTGGTACTGATGTACTTGTGGTGTTTACAGATGAGAGCAAGGCACACATGAGCCCATATGAACACATTTATAGTGCTGTTCACCAGTGTGTGCCCTACTCTAATGTACCCAGCCCCTTCGACAGCAAGATGCCTCCGCCAAGCGACAAAGTCCACTGTGTTCTACTGGGAGAATTTGACACTGGATAAAATGGTTGTATCTCTAATGTAAACTTAAGTGTGTCAAGTCCTGTTGTCATGGGTAGTAGAAATAGATGTTCAAGGAACATGTGACATCTCTCTCTTTGCCTCATGCTTTCAAAACAAAATGGAAAATAAGAGATCTAAAAATACAAGAGCTGCTCTTGTGGAATTTCATGTTCTTTGTACAGAATGATTCAAAAGTACTTGTAGAACACAAGTATATTTCTAATGGTGAACTTAGTTACAATTACAACACAATACAGCTGGTTGAAGGAAGGTGGTGGTCAGTGTGATACAGTCACATGACACACACAGGTCACGTGGTCCATCTGTGATGTGTGCGCACGGGGACTTTTGAATCACTTTGCAGTGCCATCATTTGTTCTTGTGATGCTTAGGTACTAATGATTCACTGTGTAATATCGATATTTGGACAAGACAGTAGAACGGGCAAATTTGATGCTTTTGTGCTGGTTTCCAGCTGCTGCAGAGGGAAAGTTCCTTTGTATCGTGGAACTGAAGTTGAACTTGAACAAATAGTGGTAATACCACATGACCATCCAATGTGTTTCGCACTTCCGCTTATTTCCCGGCCTTCCTGTGTGCTGCATGCACAAACATGAAAGATGAAAAATGTGAACTTCCGAAGTTTGCTCCATTGTGGAAAAGGAATTTATGCAGTCTAAAAAAGGCCTTTTGCTCACATTTTTAGCTGTTTTTTAATGTACTGTATAACTGCAAAGGAATTGTTAGTGGTGTCTAGTCATGTTGCAATGTCATTTGTATGATGTTTCTATGTGATGTCGGTTACAGATACACAGCACAGGCTTGAATACTTTTATGTTGTTGGAACATGTAATATTCTATTTTTAAAGCTGCTGTGAGTTTTCTTTTAAAAGGAAACATTGATAATTTTAACAAGTAATGCACTTGTTTAACAGTCGACTATGGACTGATTAATGGCAAATCAATTTTTTAATACCAAAAAATAAATTCTATTTGCTTGTTACAAAAACATTGACATTTGGACCCTCTTATCTTACTAGTATTAAACGTAGTTACTTTCTTTTCTCTACAAGGTTGACTGGATTTTAAAATTCTGACATAAGTCATATTTGTTTGTTTTACCAAGTAGTATCACTTGCAGCGTTGAACAAAAATAAAATTTTTGAGAAACTAAACGTTTTGTTCTGAAAACAAAAAACCTAAGAACTTCTGTGCACAGAATTCTTGGTTATGAATATTTAAATCAAAATCATTATTGTCTTGGATCTCAGAGGCACAAAGAGAGAAAGATCTGTGCTGTCGTGTCTAATTCTGTCTTGTCAACAGCATATTAGCATTCTGTCACCCAGTAAAATAGATATTGTAAGTTCCTCTGCTGTGTCAGAATTGTGCTTACCATCCTGTGTGCACTGAAACACGTGTTGATTTTGTTGAGAGGCACGGTCTAGTGGATGCCACAAAAACTCCTTGTCTATTTGTCTCAGCATTTCATCATTTGAATGCATTTTTTATATATATTAGTTACGCGCTGTGAATGAGAGAGTGTAAAGATTAAATGACAGAGATGCTTGTCACACCAGTTCTAGTGTGAGTGTGGAACATAAACACTGCTGAGTAGGTGTGGCAAGTTCTGAAGACGCTGTTGTAAACGCACTGCTAACCGGCACCCAACGTTTGGATGCATTTCAGGTTCCTTATGTCTTATTGAAAAGTACAATGACAGTACTTTTGTAAACCAACAAAACTGGAAGGTAAAAATGCAGAATAGTGTTCAGGTCCTATTATGGGGACTTCATCTTTGACTGTGAAGATGGAGGCAGTATGTTTTTCCACAGTGATGACTGCCTTCAAGACTGCATGGTGTCTCAATCCAGAAGACTGCAGTCAGTTCTCACATGTATTATGAAAGCCTGAGAGCAGGTCCTGGTGTTTGTTGCGTATTTCAAGAATGCAACACTACTGCTCGGAGAATGAGGCTGTGTCCTCAGAGTCGTGCCTGGAGACCTATCCAGCCAGTGCTGAGAATACAGTGGGCGGGAGCCTACTCGAGAACTGTTCCAGTTTGACGTCTTTGTTGCCGCTCGGTGTTGTCAGCACTGCACAAACTCTCCTGCAGGATCAGCTGTAGTGGGTGAGTTCAAAAATTATTTTTTTCAGTGCATGTAGTAATTAATAATCAGTTCTCCCTTTCCTGAACAGAAGTACTTCTGAATATTATACAAAATCTCTTTCTTCCTGCTATGGTGAATGTTAAGGGAAGACTTAGAACCTGTGAACACGCCTGTCCCATTGCATTCCAGCTGCTTCCATCAAAACTGTGAACCGAAGGTTTGTTGCGTGGTTCTGCGGATGTTATCGCTACATGTTGACTTCTAATAATGTGTGTAGTATTGTGCACTATGCTGCTAAAGGGCTTAAATGAACTTTTACATGTATGTTTGTTGCCCCTTTGACAAATTTTAATGAAACTTTATATGTTTTAATTAAAACCTTCAAATAAAATTGGACCGATCAAATTCACATTTTACTTAAATGCTTCAGTATGAGAGCTTGTAATGTATATATGTGTAAAAGAAGTTAACAACAAGATGTTGCTTTGGGCTGCAACAGCGGCTGTCTTCTGGGTTGCTGCACCGTGTAGTCTGGTAGAAATTGACCGACGTTTTATGCTTACTGCTCTTATGATGAAGGCAGTGACCATCTCTGAAACGTCGCCCAATTTCTGCTAGATGTCAGGGCGCAAATTGTCAGCGGATGATCTGGGTTGAACTGGTTAGCGTGCATTTGTAATTCGGTGACGCCGTTTTCGATTTCGTGACGTTCCGAATTATTCATTCGGCCCCGTGTGCTTTGTACTTCAGCTTCTGCCGTGTTTACTCCGCTGCTCTTGATAGGAAATCGAACCGTATCCAATTATTTTCACATGATAAAGTCGCCCTCCGTAGCATGTGGTATATATACATATATATAAGCGCGTGGCGTGTCACAGTTGTCTCAGTGCGCGCGATGGAACCGCTTCTGCTGCTGCTGCTGTTGGCACACAGGTACGTGCTCTGTGGCTCGTTTTCTGGCCGAATTATTTTACTTCACCCGGTTGAAGCTCGACCAAATAGCATTTAAGATTTCGGTCCGTACCGCGAAGAAAACACCACACTTCACCATTGCAAAGATCAACATTTGCGGGTTTCATTTGCAGCCCATGAATACAAGCTGCCAAGTTACTGATTGTTAAAGCAGGTGACACGAAACGTTACCACTCGTAGGTGACTCCTTCACTGAACCTGAAGACGGAAACAGAGCCAGCCCTCGAAACGTTGCGTAATTTTATAACGCCAGACCATGGACGAGGTCGAAGAACCCAACAATCCAGGCTTTTATTTGTGCTTTATTTAACGTCTCTGACAGTAGCTCAGGGTGATTAATGAGTAATCAATTCTAGAGGATATGGAAGTGTACTATCCAGGCATGTTTTTCGTGATTTTCCTCAGTCCCCACTGAAATGCAGGCACCTTCAATTAAGCCGGCCACGACCGCTTCCTCTCACATCCTTTCCCAGTTCATTATTGACTGCCCTCTCATTCTATGCGTTGTGTAGTCTGAGACAATGAAAGTGTTAAATGAACTATGAAAATAAGTTGAGGGGAAACTGCGCTGTGTAAGCAGATAATCGGCCAACGAGAAAGCAGCTGCTAAATTTTGGGTTCCGCCCAATTGTAAATCTTCCTAGCGGGAACGTAGTTAGTTAGTTAAAGTAGCAGATAGGCCAGTGGCTTTGTACTGAGCGTATTGCTTGAAAACGAAAATAAGGTAATTAGGCGGTGTGACCATGGACGTAAACAAGAAATCGCCTGCTTGGCCTTTGCTGTCAACTGAGCTGGCAGGTGGCGCGGCGCAGCGCAGCGATTATCTTTCTGACAACGCTGACTTAACAATGGAGCAACGCTGCAGTTCTTTTCCACTGGTTGGTCGAAGAGGCTTAAAGTTAATGACGTCATTTGTTGTTCTCCTTCGTCGACACGCTGGCTGTTATTTGCAGTACAGAAAATAGTTCGTGAATTGGGTCGGAAAGCAACACATTTCATAACTAGCGTACTTATTGGCCGGCAGCCAGCGCGAAGACCAGGGCGTAGCAGATCCAGAAGAGAAGTGAAAGTAGAAAGAATATCTGCCTGATCAGGTGGCTGTCTGGATGCAGCCTCCTGCAGCTGGCACTAATCCCGAGCAATGGCTTGTAATTAAAAAAAAATAGAAAGGAGTTGTTCAGTTGCGTATCTCGTTTATGGAGATGGGTTTTCAGTTTCCTGTTCGCGAAATGCAGCAGACTCGCCTTGAAGGTAGTTTCCGTGTTGTAAAATACAGGCGAAGACATTGGTTCACGTGCAAACTGGTTGGCCTAACGAGGGAATCTTAAGCTACAGCTTAATAAAACTGCCTTTCGTGCCTGCAGTAAACCCAGTACGCTTCATTTTCTGACGGGTTGCACCTTTATTCCTGAAATAGCCCTACGTGGGCACTGCGGCCGGTCTGCTTGTCGTACGCTACTTCAGGGCTCTTGGCCATGTCCGTGTGTGTGTGTGTGTGTGTCACAATTTGAACGCGTCTCCGTGTTTACAGAAGAAGAAAAAAACATTTGAAGCCGCAGCCGACTTAAAAATGTTATTTGAAAATTCAGTCCGTACGGCAAAGAAAACGCGTCTCTGTTACAACTGGTTAATGCTGTTTAAAGAAATAATCGTGTTTTACTGTGAGAATCACAACATTACATATAAGCTGCTTTTAAAGCAGTTTAAAGAGAAAATATATTTCTCTTGTTATCGGATTCGATTTTGCGCAATGCGAGCCACAGACCCCGTGGCGACATGTCGTTTGACGTCTTCATAGAAAATAATTGCCAGCTCATTATCGCTTTCTTTTGTTTTCATGTACGTAAACACGTTAACTGGGACAGAATTTAATTATAAATTATCGATTTTTATGCGCGTTTGTAAACCAAGTAGACGTACAGACTTGTGAGAGGAAGGCAAGGGAGTCTGCAGACACGTTCGTTCAGAGCGATTTGCCTCAAGCGGTAACGCTTCTTACTTTCGCTGGGTAGGTGACCACTTCAAACCACTTTCCAGGCGAATGCGGAAATAACTCCCGAAAATATGCCATGACCTCTTCCTCTGGAATTGTTTCAGTTTCCTCTCATGCCGTACGACGCAAAATAACCGTAGCAGTTTGTACAGCGTCGTTAAATAAGCTGTTGTCAGTTTAGAATCGGAATAGGCCAGAGGACGTGCTCCTTGGTTAGAAACAGTTGGTACAACTGCGCTCCCTACCGCCAGCTTGGAAGGGGGAAACAAGAAATGCGTTCTGAATTCTAAACTGGGATAAGAGCGTAGAATAAAGACGCTGACGACCGTCCAGGTTCTGTCGAGGCACTGGTCGACGTAAATGACGCAGGGTCCGAACCAACGCCTGCGCCACTTTTCTCCCCGCATCGAGGAAGCTGCAGTGGCATATCGGCAGGACACACTTCCGGCCCAGATGAACGGTACTTCCTGTTGCGCATTCCATCATATTCCTCCATCAGCTCACTGTAAGGTAGTACAGTGGATGGTCGGGGATTTTTATTTCATTATTGTGTTGAGGCTGGTTCTGACCTCACATCGAATGTGTGTGGGGCTGAGGTAGCCTAAGCGTTAAGCTGACCATCACCCCCATGGATACTTAATTCACACCACTGTTACAGTTGTCAAGTAATAATATAGCGTAAGATTTTAATGTCATTAAGACGGTGATTGCCGATTAGTTGTGATAAATGGCGTTAGGGTACCACTACACACCTTTGCTGCAGGCGTTGGCTCATGTGATCTAGTCTTTCGCTTATCACATCCAATGTCTTGGCAGTGTTCACATCCATTCTGTTGATAATGAAAGAAGCACAGTTTCAGAGTTAAAAATGCACCAGTTATTCCTTGTGTCCCCCCCTACACATCTCCATGATGCGCGGTCAGCTTTACACCTCGTAATCAGTAGTCGTTGTGGTGTTCGACTTGCAGGATAGAAAGGAGTCTAGAAAGTCCAGGGCCAGAGTTTCGGGTGTTCTGGAATGTGCCCACATTCATGTGTCACCGCTATGGTATGGACTTCAGCGACGTCTCTAGCCGCTGGAGCATAGTGCAGAACTCTGGAGATATATTCCGGGGGGAGCGTATGGTGATCCTGTATGATCCAGGCGAGTTTCCAGCACTGCTACATGATAAGCATGGCAACCTTCTGTACCGGAATGGGGGTGTACCCCAGGAGGGTGACCTGGGGCGACACCTCAGTAAGCTGAGGACCCAGGTGGATGAGCTGGTGCCTGACCATAACTTCCAGGGTGAGATCCCAGGACACTGGCTATACTTTCTAGGCAGATGTTGGGTTAATACCTTAAAGTAGGCTACAACCACTACCTTCCCAAATCATTAATAATTATTGCATTCTTTTTTATTTGGTGTTACATAACCAATGTTAAATAAGCCAGAAGCCAGTTGATGCTTCTCAGGCTATGAAACCCCTCCATTGTAACCTTGAATTTACTACCATAATCACCACTGCAGTTTGTGTTCATCACTGTAATCTGCTCCACCCAGTTATCTTGAATGATGGAGGACATGAAACACAGTTATAAAATAACTATATGTGAAGCCAAGTAGTCCCCCTACATTTCATTTTTAGCAAAAGAATGTTCTTATCATTATGACAGTTCGACTCGGGAGAGAGTTTCTGTGGGGTATGGAATTGTGCTGCATGAACAAAACGGAGGCAACTTCGTGTGACATGGAGGAATGTTTAGATTTTGGTGTCCTGGAAGATGTCATTGCCATAAAATGAAACAATGTTGTCATCCTTCAAAGTGTGGCTGGCTCGTTTATCAATTCATGCATAACGCTTGTGATTCCTCTCTGCCTAGTGGGCTGAGCCTTAAAGCTGCGCAGCGACTGTATGCGAGTGTATCAAATTTGCAGGTTTAGGAGTGATTGATTTTGAGGCGTGGCGTCCCATCTGGAGGCAGAATTGGGCATCTCTGCTGCCATACCGTGACGTGTCTCGAAAGATTGAGAAGCAGCGCCATCCATTTTGGTGGACACCTCAGAAAATTGAAGCAGAGGTAATTGGACTTTGTGCATTGCCTCAGTTAGTCATATGTACTGTGTTCAGAAGGAGTTGCTTTCTATAATGGGTACCTATCTGTCACAGCCCCGTATGTAAAACAAAAGAAATGTTAGATTGCATTATTGTCTAGGAAACAACATCAAAACACTTGGCTGATGAATGGAATCCACATGGGAATTTTGTGGTCTTTTTAAAGATTATTGCTACACAGTGCACCTTGTTGCAGGCTACACGCCGCTTTGAGAAGGCCGCGCGTGATTTCATGTTGTCAACGCTTGAGCTCCTGAAACAGATGCGCCCTAGTGGTCAGTGGGGATACTACGCATTCCCTTATTGCTTCAACTATACCCCAAAGAACATGCAGCCAAGCTGTCCAGTGCAGGTTCAGCGTGAGAACAATGGGTAAGTTACACACTGCAACCTTATATAAGTGGTAACTTCTTCTCTAGTTGGCTTACTTATACTTGCGCTCTCACAGCAGAACACAAGAGATGGCCCTGAAAATTTGTTTTGTGTCATAGGATCCAGTGGCTGTTTGATAGCAGTGCAGTTGTGTTTCCATCCTTGTATCTGTCCAAACTGCACATGTCACCTGAACAGCACGCCCAGTTTGCGATTGGCCGCATGAATGAGGCAGTACGCATTGCCCAGAATGTGCCGCGTCTTGTCAAGCCAACTGTGAATGCTTACATCCGGTACCGGTACCATGATGCAGATGAGTTCCTGTCCCGGGTAAGGAATCAGTAGCTCATGGTACCTTACATTTAATGGATACTTGTGTTGTAACAATCATATTAGAAGCATGATGACTGTGTCAGAAATTTTCATCTTCTGGGTTTTAATACTGTGTGTGTGTGTTTATACCAACATTCCTCTGGAACATTGGTATCTACTTACAGGTTCATGTGGCGTTACAACCCCAGAAGACTAGCACTAACATCTTCTCCACTATGAGAAAATCAGATCTCACTATAAGAAGCAGATTGTAATATGAAATTATATCTGTCCGTGCAGATTAATGTGTTGGTTCTGCTGAGAAGTAGTTATCTGTGGGTAACTTGTGTCTCTGTAGACAGGGTGGTCAGTGTATGGAGACCTCTGTAAAGTTCTCTGCATGACAGGTTTTCTGTTCCACAGAAAGGGCAAAATGCAAGTTCTT